GTTCAGAACCAATAGGTAAAAATTATAAAAACGTTATTGAATATAGTAAAATAAAAATAGTATTAGCGACATACATTGTCTCAAAAAATTATCAAAGGCAATACTCTTCTTTTTAAATATTATCATACTTTCTATATAGTTATACAATATTTTTTCTTGCCTTCATTGAAAAAATAATTCCTTTAGCCAAATCTAGGTCAATATTTATCAGTATGCATGCAAACATAAGCTAATATAATAAACTTTGTATTTATATAAGTCTTTCTGATTAATTTTCAGTTTAAATAAATTAGCGTCACGATCGAAGCATTAAAAGTTTTGATACAGTTCGTGATCTCTATCTTGAAGAAAAATGGTTTAGTCACTCGTTCGCAATTGTTTCTAACATATTCAATTCTAGGTGATATAAATTTGAATGAATCATAAAACTAAACTCATCATTGAGAAAACAGTTCTAGATAATCGAAGGCAAATGTTCCTTTGTATTTTATCAGTTGTTCCGCTAGCTTATGACGTCTGATAAAAATCCACGTGTAGCTGTTTGTTCGGATTCACTTTACTCCTGATATTTTTCCAAGTTTGACTGTAGCTACGAAAATTTTTAATTATTTTTTTTTTCTTCTTATTGAGCCTGTTTTGTACTTTAAATAAAATAAAGCAATTAAAATGACAAATATATTGCAATTTTGAACTTTTGTATGTTTCCGTTAATTATGCTAGAGTTAATTTATTATATTTATTTGAATCCAATTGTTCTATATTATTAGGATATTAATGAATTAAAATACTTTATTCACGTTTTCGTTCTTTTGTTTTTCCAGAAAAATCGCTCTCCTTTTTATCAACATTTTTTAATTATCGATTAAGCAATTTTACTTTTTTTAAGGTACCTCCGAAATTTCAAAACTCTGTAAAACACTTGTTGCATTAAGGTTTAATTTTGAAAAGTTGAAAACTTTTAAACTATTACAAAAATACTCTTTTTTTCCTTTCATTTTTTTATTTCAAGCATTATTTTTTATTCACAAAGGAAACAATAGTTAAAAATGAATGCCAGCAAGTTATAATTTTATTACATATACGTATGAAAATAAAATAATTAAAATGACAAAAATATTGCAATTTTAAGTTTTTCGACTATTTCCAGTAATTATGCTTAAGCAAAGTTATTAGTTTATTGAAGTTATTAGAACATAACTGTACTATGCTAAAAGGATATTAATAAATTAAAATGCAATTCACGCGTCCGTTGTTTTATTTTTCCTAAAAAATTTCTCTTATTTTATCAACATTTCTAAAGAACGTTTTAACAATAATACATTTTTTATATACCTAGAAATTTCAAAACTATTTTTAAAACAATGCATGAAGCAGAGGTTCTAATTCTTTTTTTCTTTTTTTTTTTTTTTTTTTNTTTTTTTTTTTTTTTTTTTTTTTTTTTTTTTTTTTTTTTTTTTTTTTGGCTTGTTTACCCTAACTGATCGAGCTTCCGGCATTATGTAAAAATTCATAAGCCACTGTGAATATAATAATCAAAATAACTAAATAAATAAAGACCACTAATTATTTTGAAACAATTTAGTGCGTAGAATGAAATATTTAATATCATGAATTTTTTCTCCGCGTATGCATATGCTGAAAATGAATGAAATAAGCTAATTTAAGGTTGTTGTTGTTTTTTTCTTTTCTTTTTTAAATTTAAACGATGAAAAGAGTTATCAGAAAAACATCGGGAGTGACCATTATTTTTCAGTATTTTCCTGAATTTAACTATTTTATTTTGAACTGAAAACCTGGATAAGACATACTTTTCAAATTTTTAAGAATGCTTATTTTTTTCAAAATTTACTTTATATAACATTTTTGAAAAAAATATCTATATTTTAAATTTTCGAAATATTATACAAATTATGGCTAGTTGAGTAGATATAAATATTGTTATTCCTGGTTTAAAATATCCTAACTCTTGGAACTAATATCATCCTTCCATGGAACTCCAGGGTTCTGCGCTACATCTCTTGGGAACCACTGGCGCATGGAGTTTTAATTTTGAAAAATTAAAGCAAAAAATTTAAAAAATTAGGAAACTGTTCCGAAAATAATTTTTTTCTTTTTTTTATATTTCTCTATATTTCTTTTTGCTATATTTTTCCTTTGTCTAAAGCCTGATTCTTTATTCACAAAAAAACAGTAACTTTGAATAAACATCATCCAGTGATAATCTTATTACGCATACCTATGATAATTCTTTATCCCAAACATTGCCCATCATACAGCTTCTCAATAAAAAATAAAAATTTAATTTTTTATTTAAATATATATGCAATTTCAGAATAGTTATATAACAATTTTTAATTTTAGAGTGCTGATTTTTGATGCCGCACCAGAGGCATCAAAAAGAATATACCAAGAGAAGTACCAAGAATAAAATTTTAAAAATGAGGGGGATACTTCAATATTGGACAAAACCTCTGCCACCCACCATGAATGCTAGAAGAGCCACAAGTGGGCTGTAGCTATCACGTTTTTTAGCATTGGCTTAGAACAGGGGTTTCCCCCTTACATGAGACCGGGGGCCGCAATTAAAAACACCAGCCAAATGGCGGCCCGCAACTTTATCACAATTTTATCTAGCACTCATTTATGCTTGAAGGAACATTGAATATTACTGTCAGATTTTTATCAAGTTGTGCGAAACAAACGCATTGAATTACAAATTAAAATTAGAGGTAGATTTTTAAGCAACATGCACGATTTTTGAGTTTGAAAAAATATTTTCTTGGGTGCAAAACCTGATAAAAAAAAATTTTTTGTGTGCCGTTGGTATGTTAAATTTCACAGAAACAAAGAAATAAGGGTTTTTTAACGAAAGAAAAGTATTTTAAACCCATATAGATTTTTTACGAAAATTGTCCGCAAAAAATGACAACTAATACATTTAAGTTCACGGGCCACAAAAAAAGGCTTCGCGGGCCGGATGTGGCCAGCGGGTCGCCAGTTGGTAACCACTGGTTTAGGACATCGTTTATTAATAAAAACAAAACATAGAAAAACACTTTCGAAATCGCAATTATTTACAGTGACAATTTGTAAATAATACAAAATTTAGAAACTAATTTTTTTTAAATGTTGATATTGCACTTTCTCATATGGTTATTCAATTGTTTGTTCATTTTCGAGTTAAAAATAATAAATTGCTAAAAGGCGTTTCGTTTGAAAACTCCGAGAACGTATTCTTATCATCACACTGAGATAAATATAGATTCACGTGCACGTTCTCTGGAGTTAGTTAAATCACTTCCGATGAATCAGTCCTTCCCTAAAATCGTTCGTGAAGCAAAGCGTAAATTACCGTTCTCCCTGCTAAACAACAAACAAAAGTTTTATTAATTAGGTTCTTGACTACACTGAAATCATATTGGTAAACAACACTTAAATATTTTTACTGGTGTTTCGTTAAACAGTGTGCAAAAAAATGAAAACTCGCCTTTTTTGAAACTCGATTTCTCGGGAACTACCCGACCGATTTCGCTCAGATTTTGTATTTTGCCATGTAAAATTGCATTCGTTAAAATGATGCGAAAAAAATTTATACCTTACAATTCAAAATTTTTCGACTATTATTAAATAAAACAATAAAAATAATAAATGTTTACTAAAAAATATTTTTTGTTTCTTTGGATAAACGAATTTTGTAATTGTGTCTGAAAATTTTCAGTTCGCTTAAAAATTTCTCGAGATATGGCAAAAAACACAAAAAAAATAGAATTAACATTAAGGGAACCAAACTTTGGACCGGGTCCCAATAGTTTGGTCAGGAGACCAAACTATTGGGACCAGGTTTCCTAAATTGCAACTATTTTTTTTATTTTTAATTACAGTATCTCGTTTATATTCGAAAGCAATATTTATTGATTCATCATCATTTTGATATTTTTATTAAGCTTATTAACAACGATTCGCTTTTTTTTAATCCCGCTTTTCGAAATTTCTCGTGCTGCAAACTTCTTATTATTTGTAGAAAAGTATAATGTATAAAAAAATGTAGTAAATATTTCTAATTGGTATCGATCCAAAGCTATTCTGTGCATAGGGTACTCATTATACATAAGATACTGTTTTTTAGATATATATATATATATAATATCCTTTTATTAGACGTCAATCTTATACTCCTGTTCTTTAATATTTTCGTCATTTCAGCCCCAAATCGCTAATACAGAAGTAAAGAGTGTTCTGTACTGACCATCCTTGATATGTGTCGTAATTAAGAAAACGTATTTGTTTGTTTTTTCCCCTTTCAAGTGCCAATTTTCTAATTTTTGTTGAACACTTCCGTCGTTCAACAAAAGAAATAATAAGATACACCTTTCTACATTCTTTAATTCAGCCTGCTCGTAATTGGTTTTCTCAGACAATGCCAGACAATATGTAGAGCCATTTCAAGTTCTCAACTTCGATGTTTTAGATCAGGAGGACTCTTAGCATGCCATATGGAAAACGATTTATATCCTTGTATGTTAATAAACAAATAAATACAAATATTATAGACTGTGTCAAGCCAATTTGACTACCTACCTCTGACGTTTTAGGTCGGGTCTCTTAACAGGCCATTGAAAACTTACTTATATCCTTGTATGTTAATAAATGAATAAAAACGTCATAAGTAGTGCCAAGCCCGCTCAGTTCCCTAACTTTGATGTTGTAGGCCTGGATTTTATACAGGCCATGAAAGGCGATTTATATTCTTATCTGTTAATTTCAGTGGAAAATATATATGCAATTATGTAGTGTTAATCTCATATTGTATGGTAATTTATGTTACATATGTTGTTGGTGCTCCATTGTTAACTACCCGAAATCTTTATCAATAATTTTATTCAAAAAATATGAACTATTATCACGTTAGGAAAAAATGTTTAACTTTTACTATTTTAAAAAGTTCTTTATTATTAAGTTCTTCTACTTATTGAAATACAATGTTGTTTGACTTTATGCAGGTAAAGCCATCTAGTCAAAGCTCTGAAGATATATGTGAAAAAGAATCCGTAAACAGTACTAATATACAAGACGATGATACACTCATATCAACTTTTCCCGTAGAGCCTGTTGTACCTACCAATAATGGTAAGTTAGCTTTATGATAGTGTCCTACAACTTAACACGAGCTTTTTTTTTTTTTTTAATTGAAAAAAAAATAAGACTTGATTGAATAAAAATAATATTTAATAAATACTCATAAATATTCGATTGTTTTTTTTTTCGGAGAATATTGGCACATTTTCAATAACGTTTCGTTTATTTATCATATTTTTTCCCTAAAAAAATGAAATATTGATTTTTTCATTTATATCTCATTCAATAAATCAAATATCATTTGTCTCTGTCTCTGATTTCAATTTCATTATTATTCCTTAGTTAATTCATACTAAGCTCTTGTGGGTAAAATAAAAAAAATCGAGCTGTTCAACACAGAATAAATGCAATACTACTAGTATTGCATTGAGTTTTTTTTCAGTGATTTCGCTATAGATTCAGTGTCAAAAAAAAAAAAAAACCGNAAAAAAAAAAAAAAAATACGTCGCTATAGAATCAATATTGAAAATAAGACTACTATAGATTCAACATCGAAACAAAATAGACCACTATACATTCAGTATCGAAATATGAAGTATTATAGATTTGGTATCGAAAAAATAGGTTGCTATAGATTCAGTATCAAAAAATGGGTCGTTTCAGATTCTGCAACTGAAAACTAGGTTCGGTAAAGATTTTTTTATCAAAAAAGTTTGTCACCTATTTTAACGTCTTAGTAATAGGAAAGTATGGTTTGTCTAAAGTAAGAACTGCCCTAGTCATTCGTCTGGACCAGTGGCCATGACTATGGCAACGAGGTATAACTGTTTGAAGTAGGGGTGTGGGGTCACTGTTTAGGATAGGTTTTGGAAAAAGAAGCTACCCTATCTGAAATGCGCTATTCTTGTTTCCATAGCAGCAGACGGCCTCAGACTTTGTGGCGGGGGGAGTTCTTACCGTAGACAAACTCTAAAAATAACAGTTGTGTTTTAGATTTTTTTAAACAAATTTTTTAAACATTTCAATTTATTTTTTATTTGCTTTTTTAAAGCATTTTCGTTTTCAAAAAAGATTTTACTTTTCTGAAAACCGTTTATCTTTCAATTAGTCCAACTTATCTTCACACCTATGAAGCTTCCCTTGTTCCCTTGACATTAAAAAAATATTATCGTATTATAATTTTGTTATGCGAAATATAAATTATAACCCGTATATAAATTGATCTGTCGATCTTCCCTTACGTCTGCCGATAACACGTGACAATCATAAAACGTTTTTTTCGAAGATTGACCTCATTGTTGAACATCCAACACAATACTAAATGTGTTTTTCGAATTAAAAATTTTATATCTTTTTCATAATAAAATATAAATATAATTTATTATTTTGCAAAATGTATAAGAAATATTATCTGAACAAATTAGAAACGCCACGAAATCTAAAAACGAAAAAAGAAAGAAAGAAAATGATATATAGTTAGTTCACCAGGAGTTGGCACTTGGCTCCGTGTTCATCACGTGGTATCCGGCGATACTATTTCGCTGTTTTTGGGAGAAGGATGTGAACAATACTGAACAACAAGATTGCTATTTGGCAATCGTATGACAAAAACATTAATTTCGCTATCTTTATGTGCATTTTTTTAACATTAAACATTTCATAAATTTGATGATATTTCTCTCTTTTGAGGGAGTAGTTTGTCCTTTTTGAGACGTTTTGCTGTTTTTACAGCAGTTCTTAAATTTAAGATATGTTTAATTAGCTAGAGTAACGAAAAGTATCTTAGCAGATGATAAAGCGAAGTAACTGACTGAAAAAGAATTTACTCTTTGCGTTTGCCGCGCATTAAGGGTTGTCTCAATGTCAAGAGCGGAGATCGTTCTCCTCTTACTCCCGAACTGAAATGAACTCTGCGTCCGAGGAGGTGGAGTCAGGTGCCAACTCCTAGTGAACGAACTATACATTAGATGTATGTTCAATGTAAATAATACTATGTAATGACAATATACGGAACATTATTTTTAATCAGTTTTTAAAATATGTTACTTCATTTATTTTGGTCCTTCTTTAAATTATTTTTATGCATTGGTTCCAGTGTTCCTTTCGTGTTTATATGTTTTTCATGTGTTGTTATTAGTTGAATTATATAATACCAAAATAAAACTTTATACTGCTCTGACAGGTACAAACCTCAAATCTTTAATCAACTTATTTACTTTAAATGTCACATATTGCATTTGAACTTATAATGTAGTTTTCATTTTATCCGTAAAATTTATCACTTAACTTCCAGCATAAAAGTTAGGACTTACTTTTTTTTAACAAAAATGCCGTACAATATTTATTATCTCAGATGCTTGAAGGTTAAAACAAGCCATCACATTTTAACTTAAACATTCTACACTGAAAGAAAAAAAACTACCTAAATATGGTAAAATTTACCGTATTTCTAGATTTATGAGAACACTAAAAACCTCAGTATTTTTTATTGAAACGCTTTGGTAATAATTTTAATAAAATTTAAAATAAAATAAAAAATATAAAATAAAAATTTAAAATAAAGTATGTGATAAAATTTTGTCAAATACGGTAAAATTTGGTAATTCTATCATGACACCTTAGAGAATAGCATAAAAACTGTTTATTTGGCAAAATTTGCTCTTCAATTTTGTATTTTTTACTAAATGTGTGGTAATAAGAACTACAATTTCGAAAACTAAAATTTTCCGTAAACCGTTGCTATATGAATAGCTTAAAATCCGTATATTTTGGATTTTAATACCAGAATTATGATTTTTTTTTATAAGAAATGGCATTACCGTACAGTATGATAATTTACCAGAACTCTTTTTCTGTGTATAAGTGAAAAACGCAAATGTAAAACTTGCTACCTACACCTACTTTTTAATGAAAAGTTGAGAAGTGAAGAAACAAATTGTACTACGAAACGTATTAACTATGATATTAATCTCGAAAGTTAAAATATTAATCCAATGAAAACTGAAATAATATATTCATGTTGAAGTTAATTAAAAATTTAACATGATTATATTGCATATTACCCATATTTTATCTTAAAAAATAGTTATCAGGTTTTGCATCAGGGGAACTGAATGTTTTCTACGCTAAATGGATGCTTAAATACATGCCTCTCTTATTTTAACAATATACAGTCATATTAATCAACCCTTTATAAAATGTACAATTTTTAAACATTTTATTTCAGGAAATGTTTAATATAGTTACCTGTTTGCAATAGATTTGTCAGAAACATCAATTGATAATGCATCTGAGCATTACATTATAATGCATATACAAACATAAATAAATGTTCAAATTCTCTCTTTCTTTTGGGATAGCTTACGTAATCTAAATTTATAAATGGCCCAAATACATGTAGATTTCAAGCTTTGACATGAAGTTGGTTGGTTCTAATGCCACTTGCCACACGGGCAAGCCTGCCTGCCGAGCAAATTTTAAGGCAGAGAGTGAGCGATTCTTGTTTTTCAAATGGCCAAGAATTCGACTTCTGTCACACCGACCCATTCATACATCCATTCATTCAACCACAGATCGTAATTTTGACCTGAATCAGAGAACGATTGACCTCCGCTCCAGTACCCCCAGAGGTGTTGATTTGTTCTGGGAACATGGAGAACTTTGCGACTCGACAAAATTTTTACGGGCACCAGTCATCAACTACACGGGGAGTCTTCGGCCGGCGGGGTTCGAACCCACGAACTCACGGACATGGGCCCAGCGCTCTACCGACCAGGCTATTCCGGCCTTGACATGAAGTGAATAATGTTATTAATTTTAAAAGCTAATTACTTTACAACTGATTTTCGCAACAAAAAAAATACCTTTTTTAGTAGAGCGGGACATTGTTATAGTACCACATTACATGTAACAGACATTTTATTGCATATTCAGTAGTAATTTTTACATATTTATTTTAGTAGGTCTCATTTTTACAGATGTGGTATTGACTAATATTAAGTATTTTTACATTTATTTACTCGTAATTAAAACTTCAAACAAAATAACATAATAAATTTTTAAATAATGACAGCATTCTATTAATAGAACGAAATATTTGGAAATTCAATCGATTAAAGCTAACAAACCTGATTTTTTTTTTTTTATCATCGTGAAAAATATGATAAAAAAAGTAGTTGCAAAATTTTTCTCATTAGTAAACAAGACATAATCTTGATTGTTTGAAAATATTTACGATTTAACATACATACATAATTTTAGTTTAATATTCTCGCGGCTTGATTTTTTTTTTTATATATATATACGAGGGTTGTCCATAAAATAAGGTTCCCAAGGAGCTGCGGACGTTAGGAATGCTGTTAAGCTGGGTTGGGTGGGACTGGCGTGTAACTTGGCTCCCTTTCCCCCAGTTCCCGCCCCGGCGAGCTATCTACAACGTTAATCCTTGTCTTGGTAGCCGTGAAAGATGGAGCTTCTATTTGTTTCTCCCGCCAGGTGTGAATTACGCTCTGTGATTTATTTTTGTGTGTAAAAAACGTTCCTCCGGTGGGCATTCATTCCCAACTGTGTGAAGCTCACGGGGAAAAGTGTATGAGTGTGCAACATGTGCGCAATTGGTGCAGAGAATTCAAAGATGGACGTACAGACTTCCATGACGAACAGCATTCTGGCCGGTCATCGTTTTCAGACGAAGCGATTGCGAAAGTGGAAGAAGCAATGCTGAAAGATCGGATGGTGACGGTTTGGGACCTCAGCGAGATGATCCCTGATGTCAGTAAGTCCTGCATTCGCAACATTTTGAGAGACCGCTTAGGATATGCCAAGGTTTGTGCAAGGTGGGTCCCGATAATGCTGACGGATGACAACAAACGGCAACGTGTGGAAGCAGTCCGCGAATTTCTCCATGCCTACGAAACCGATGACGAGGTATTTTTTGACTCTGTTGTCACTGGGGATGAGACCTGGGTTCACTACATGACACCGGAAACAAAAGAACAATCCTGTCAGTCGAAACATCCAGGCTCGCCGAAGCCGAAGAAGTTTAAGCAAAT